TCAACAAGAGAGCCGTAGCGACGGACGGAATGACATAGTGGACAGATAATAGTGATAAATTTACAGAGATATTAACAAAGACAGGCTAATCCTCGGATCAAGCTCTGCGGTGATGTTTATGTGGTGTCCCCGTTGGGCCGTCACCTCCTATACTGTCATCTAGATCGTGCTGGGGGACGAGGGTGGTAGTGAGGCCAGTCTCTAAGGGATGGCCAACCCTAAAGGGGAGTTAGAGGGACACTATTAACTGATTTTTTTTTCCACACACAATTTTGTCAATGCCCTATCTTTTTTCTTAGTATACTATAAAATCCATCAATGGAAAAATTAATGTTAATATTTCCATATTTTTCTACGATGAGATCGTTGATGATCGCTAAAGGCGAGTAAAAACAAATTAGTAGGCGTTATATCTATCAGCAATAAATGAAATGAAACAATTAATTATAAAAAATAAAATAAAAAAATGTTTGGCCTGTAAAGCTATTCGATTTGCATATACCAGCATATTGGTAGCCCACCTGTCATGTTCATTGATATATGTTACAATAACTTGCTTCGCACTCGATGTTCACTATTTGGAAACAAGCACTCGATGGTAAATATATTAGGTTATCCGGATATTAATGAAATTTTACGGTTTTAAAATAAAATAAATGAAACGAATCTATTTTTATTAACTAAAAACATGCTTGATTACTATCAATTGGTAATTGCAATTATATGGCAACGTTTCCATATAATAGAATTTAAAAAAAAATGAATTTTTTAGCAATTTTGGATCAATAAAATTTTAATCTTTTAACAAGTAGCTTAGATGTCTAAAATATTAGTCGGTAGGTGAGAAGTTTGGAGGGCAAGGCGGAAACGGTTTGTTTCTATTTCAGAAAAAAAAGCGAAACTTTTTAACGATGATTATTTTTTTACCGTCGTTTATTGCATGAGAAACTCAAGTTTCATGTTTTTTTTTTACTTTTCTACGTGCAATTGCGTTAACGTGACCAACGATGGGCGATTTTCTAGCTAAGACTTTCTCATCTTCTTTTTGAACAGTTTTTCTGGGATTTTCTTCGACCGAAACTCGCAAAACAGCGTCATCAAGGGAAGAAGTCCTATCTTGACCACTTTTATCTTTAAGGCTGAGGTCTCCCTCTCGAAATTTTTTAAACCATCGTTGAACTCTGGACCGATACACACTGCCATCGTTAAAGCTGTTAAATCAATTTTTTTTGGCATGTTATCAATACTAATGTTATGTTTTGATTGTTTAAACAATATTAAGTTTTGACCCACTAGTACAATTGTGTACTTTTGTCGCACGTGGTTTAGATTATAATTTAGTATAAAATGTTGGAATATTTACTTCACATTTCTATTAAAAAAAAACACAAAATATCAATTCATATTCGAACTATTTTTTTTTTTTTTTTAGAAAAGCTATTGCTTCCAGGTTCTAACCAGAGTTACAAAGGATGATAAACATGTTTTTATTTTTTCTAATTTTAAATCGTTAAAAGAAAAAAAAACAAAACATAATTCTTTATCCTGATATATCGGAAGCTTAAGTAAAGTATTTCGGGTATTGTGATATTTTCCCGAAATACCAGAAGGTTGGAATAAGAGAAAATATCCGCACGGAAATCCGATGACCAGACGTCATGGGTAACATATTGCCCGAGGGCCCAATTTGAATTCATAGCAAAACCTCCTTTTCCACCTTACGTACAACCAACAACTTCTAAACGCTTCGTCCTGATCTATCGTTCTTCTTAGCTCTTAGTGATCCTCAGGATATGTTTGGTGTTGGTATATATATTGAGAGAGAGATGATTCCAATTAAGCTTAAGTCCACTTTCAATAGATTAGAATAGAATTATTAATATATAATGTACAGGGCTTTTCGTAAGTTAAGGAGAATACTTAAAGGAGTGATAGCAGACTTCAGCAGCTACATAAAAGTCTATATAAACAATGTTCCGAAATTCAGCAGAAAAATAAGAAATTTAAGTTTTTTTTTTTTAAAGTGACACGTCTTCGTTGAACAGGAAGCGGTAGCGAACAGAATATTTAATTGAGACAGCTAATAAATACTGCATAGTAAACTAGATAAGATGTACTTTATGCGCAAGTAAGATTTGCTAATTTGCTAAAACCATTCAATGAGAGCTTTTCTTGAAGCATTGATTATTGGCGATTATTTCGTATCACCCTCCAACTCGAGTGCAGTTGAAAATTATAAACTTCCTTACTTAAATTTTATATTAATAACGTTGAGTTTTATTATGGAATAAGTTGAGATTCACCGCTAGTTATATAAACAAAATATGTGATTTGACATTCTTTCACAGCAAAATACTTAGGTTTTCAGCGATAATAACAATGAATTATAAAAAAGCTTATTTATTTCTATGACCTGGTATGTATTGTAGTAAATTTATCGAAAGAGATATTGAAGCATTATGAAAGATCCCACATCCCGTAGGGTTGACATTTTTTTCATCTTCTTACAAGAAGAAGTAGAGGACATCGGTACCTATTTAAAGTTACAACCTATTATCATTAGTTAATGTTTCTGAAAAAATAAATCCAACAGTTACTTAAATTTTGTTCATGAAAATATAACTGTGATAATTATGAACGTGTAATTGGTCGCTTAATTCAATAAGGATCTTGTTAACATTTTTTTATCTAACCCTCTTTATTGAGAAATATTGCATTCCGTTTCAATTAAAGATAATTATAGTAAATATTAAAGATTACATTCACACTATATTTAAAGAAAATATATATAAATAAATAAACTAATAGTAATTTAATATTTGTATCAATAAGAACAAAAGAATATTGCATAAAGAAAGTAATGAACTTCTAAAAGTTAAATATACAACTCACACACTTTTATAACCAGTATAACCAGGCAAAACAATTAAAAAAGTCCATTGATAAACATATTGATAAACGCGACTCGAACCTTTTACCGTCGAGCTCTTAAGACTCAAGCTTTGGCCGGGTCGGGAAAGCTCGAGCCTTTTTGACCGAGTATTAAAAGCCAGTGGAGATAATTAAGATCACAGGTGTAACGGTGATATTCACTATAGTCGAAACATAGCTTTTGCATTTATGTTTCCGTATACCCTAGTATAAATTTCCATTATTTAACCTTATGAACATTTTTTCTATTTTCAATATATTTTTTTTAAATTGTGCTTTCACAGGAACAGTTACAGTTAGTATATTTAGACTTGTATTGTGTATTTTATTGTATATGATAAATATAATTCAGAAAACTAATATTTAATTAGAAATTTATCATGAGCGGAATATATTAACATAAAATACATTTTTTGTTCAAAATAAGATAAATATTTACTCAAGAAATTACTTTCAGAAGCTAGTATTCGAAGAAAAGAATCATTTGTCAAGAAAAATTATCCCTTTCTCATAACTTAGAGTTAAGACAGTTATCCTGGTGAAATTGTATTCTGAAAACCTTTATACAGTTATACAATAAACAAATGTTATGTGTGTATATTTTCTTTTATTCTTTTCCTTACGCGGCAACGCCACATAAAGACCATTTATTTGATTGACCTTGGGGCTGCATGCCCTAAAGGTACACCATATTAAGCTACAAGAGTTTTACTGGGAATCAATACAAGTTTTAACAAAATTAGAAAAAATGAAAAATAAATAGCCAACAATAAATTACTTGATTGACACTATAATTTTTTGGCAGTTGTGAATAAAAATTGCAATTTAAAAAAAATTACCTACTCTGCCCATCACTAGTCAGTAATTCAATATTTCTAATTAAATATAAAAACATTTGTTTATTGTAATTGTCGAATTATGGACATTTATTTTTGCAAGACCATTTCATAACTAATGTTTCTAACATTTAAAAATTTAACGAAGTTTGTAAAATTACTTCTAAGATAAATTATATAAAATTAATAATACTTAGTAAATTTAATAAAAAGTTCAGTTCGCACATAGTTTTTTTCATTAAGTTCTCGAATAATTTGTATTTATAATTTAAAAAAATACTTTTTATCGATTTTCCCTGTTTTATTTATCCTATAAAAAAAAGTGAAATATTTTTTCTACGTCAATATTTCTTTATTAAAACTGAAGCAGATATATAAAGCTTACATAGATCAGTTTCCAATCGAGCCAGCAACGATAGAAATGTAAACATGATTTTCGCTTCATTCAGTAAAAATAAAACTTGATTCTGTATACCGACCTTCTCTTCCATTTATACAAAACAGTTCAAGTATCTGCCAGATGTGAGTATCCTGCTGCCAAGATAAACTAGATGATATAAATAATACCCAGTATCTATACAGATTTTTATTACACAGAGTTTTATTGATGCTCATTTTTGGTCAGTGTTCATGACACGTATCTCAGGTATGTTCGTGTTTTTTTTCTGGTGGTATGAAATAAATTTCTGGTGGTTTGACACTATCCAATATTATTTTCCAGAACGCGTGCCTTTCATATACCTTTACCGATCACTAATGGCGTCGATGAAAAATTATCAATATGGAAAACTAATGTTTCTTTCAACATTATTGTCTAACAAACTTCAAGTAGAACTTATTAAATAATAATAATAATAAGGCTTAGCGAACCCGAAGGTTCGATGCCGACACCACCAATCGCTTGTTACACACCTCCCTCCACCGTTCGCCGTCCAAACCCAATCCCTTCAGATCGGCTTTAATACAATCTTCCCACCTTCGCTTCGGTCTACCCCTCGGACGCTTACCATTCGACACAGCAAATATTAACCTTGAACTTATTAAAAGTTTATTTTTTTATTTTCCACTAGTTGTTTTTTTTTCTTTCTTTTCTTGGATAACTCGAATCCTTTATCTATTAAACTAAGGAAGATTTTTGTCGATTTGCAAGTCTATAATTGAAGAGCCCCCTTTTCAATGGTAAAAATAAAACACCGATTCAAATAAAATAGAATATCCAGAATATAAAATAACTTTTTGGATAATAAACAACATTTATTGACCACTAACTTTGATAGACTAAGGTGTTTAAGTTATAGATAAAGTTTCTTTAGGCGAAATCATTCTCAGGAGGATGGTACAGACCACTTTGGCCGCAAGAAGTCCGAACATCATCCCGCACAGAGCCTGCTTGTACGTGGGTATGGCTTCCGAGTTTTCAGGGAGGCAGAAGAAGTCGGCGGTCATCAACTGAAACGGCTAAAATACGGAGTCCATGAATTGCATTTGTATTTTTTTTATTTATTTTAAATACAAAATAAAATAAAAATAACTATCAGGTAATGTATGTACCATTGTTCGAATTGTTCATTATACAATATTTTTCTTAGCTCTTGAGGAAAATTGTGTTTCGAAAAAAATAAGGTAATCGAAGGATAAGTTGAAGATATTTTGCCTCTTCATTCGAAAGGATATAATCCATTTAAATAAAGAATGATAGAGTATGTATGAAATATTCTTTATTTGTAATTTGCCAATAAAATTTAAACAAACGAAAATCGGATTAGAGCATGCAACTCAATGCTGGTGGAGTTTGATCCATTTCATCCTGTTTATTTTTTAATCTTTTTTTATATTTTAGTCTCTATTAGAAGGGCAATCTTTTTTATAAAATAAATCATTTTATAAATAATAAATCATCGCCGATTCTGGACTGATTCACTCGCGTTTTTTAAAATGTAAAATGGCCTTTGTTCCTCTAAAAAAGTTTTGTGCTAGTAAAATCTTAGATCAGTCTTGTAAAACTAAATATTTTTTTTCAACTGACTGCATGTTCAGATAGTATACTTAATAATTGTTATGTTATAGTTGCAGAAATTCATAATGTGAAAATTTGGTACAATAAGGCGATACTTGAATTGGCGAAGGGTTATAGCGGGACATTATGTTCTTAACCTGAATCCAATAGTCACAATCACTAGCGGATTCAGGATTTAATTTTGGGGAGGGGAGAGTTTCAGCCCGAATTTTTTTTCTCATAAAAATAACCATAATTACTTTGGAAAAAAAGAAAGAAACTAACTACTTATACTAACTACTGTTTAAGTGATTCCTAAAGTCCTATTAAATGTAATGACTAATGAATATTTTTTTCTATAAAACATGGTTTTATTTTACCATGATTTTTTCAATTATCGCCTAACGTCAATTTTCTGTCTCCTGGTGAATTTTTACTCGTTTATATTAATACTTCATAATGTTTATAATTTTAAATCGTTGTTGAAACTGTGTGCTACTTTTAATAAAAATGCCATCGAAATGATAAAATAGATAGCCACACAAATGGAGAGGCAAGAAAAAACGATAAGATAAGAAAGACAAAATGAAACAGGAAAATTAAGCATACAGGGAAACAAACAAAATAGATTACATGCGTATGTTTCTGTATAAAAGTTTTTTTATACTATTTAAATTAAATTTCTTTATTGAGTATTATAACAATCTGTCTGTTGGACATTGGTTATAGTGAGGTAGGATGACATTCACACCATATGTACAAAAAAATAAAATAAATAGAACAAAATAATAATCAAAAGTATATACAATAGACAATAAAATAAAATAACCTAAAAGATAAGAAAATTAAAACTAAGGAAAAAAAAACAAAAAAAAAAACACATGCATACCTATATACAATCAGGCGAGGGAACTCCAGGAGAACCCTGCGCTACTCTCCCAACCGCGTCACTGGTACTAAAGCCAGCGGAGATTGGTCGAGAGCACAATACTATTTAATTTAGATTATAATTCATTTCAATTAATTATAATTATAATATTAGATTATAACTTTTAATATTTTTTTTAATAATAATAATAATATGAAATTGATATTAAAATCAATCAATCATCAAAAAATATAAAAAATGTTACATATATTGTTACTATCGTTGTGTTACTACAAGCGTAAAAGTTACTTATGTTTGGGATATGATTCAATACAAGTCGATTGTTTCCAAAGTAAACTCTAATAGATTTTTTTTCCGGAAATCGAGATAATTGTCGATTCCCAAGTAAAATCACACAATGAATCCTGTTTTCTATGCATTTTTTTTTTCTTCAAAAATCTACCATAAAATGGTCTAAAAATAAGTTTATTTACAAGATCATTTTTATTTCACGAAATATAATGAAACTTGCGTTACTGAAATACTATTAAAGAAATTATTCGTCCAAAGTTTTTTTAAACTGTTTTATTCATATGGAAATGAATTAATTGTATTGTACTAATATAAACAAAAAAAATTTTTAATATTCTATCTAAAGTGGAATCCAATCGACACTTTTTATTAAAAAAGTGGCAAAAATTTAATTCTTTCCAAAAGCGGTCCAATTGAAGTTTCAATGTTTTTAATTGCTATTGTTGGAATCAGTGATTTTTGGAAATATGTGCACAAAGAAAGAATTTCTGGAATTGTTTCATATAAAATATTAGTTTTGATTTTACAATTACAATAGACAATATGCTTTTTAGCTTTGAATATTGTATGCTGTTATAATTGCAGTAGGTTTTTGTTATACAGGTTTATTGTTGTGCAGGTATATACAGCATACACCAGTATTACCACAGTTGCATGTGAGGGGGGAGGGAGGGATGGAAATAAATAATAAGTTTTGTGATTTTTTGTTGAATAATAAGCGTTAACGAAACTAACAAAAATGTTTAGTATAGGAAATTAAGAACTGCTTTATAGATAAATTAGACTTTATATAACAACAGAGTTTGTCATTTTTATATTCATTTAAAGGGAAATTTTAAGCAGCAAACTAGAAGTCCGTGGTATAGACGCCTTTTTATCGAATTATTAACATCCGCCTGAAACTTCGTAAATAGTTTCATCTCATCGTAATCAACAACTATTTTATTTATGAAAACTCTTGGAATCGGGGCGTTTTCAATCTGGAGGAGGGCAAACTTTGTCTATTTAATTAGATACTAAAAACCCATAAATATTCATTTGCTTTCTACTTGAACCGTAAGATAATTTTTCACAAAATCGAGAAAAGAGGTGGCCTTAAAAATATTGGACCATTTGGCGTGACCTACACCCCCAAAATTTCAAAATCACGAGGTTATATAGGACAAACGGCCCAATATATTTGTAGGCCACAATTTTTCTCGATTTTGTGATAAAATTACCTTACAATCCAAGTTTGCCCAGTTAGACATAGTTTGCCCCCCACCAGATTGAAAACGCCCCCAATTCCAAGAGATTTCATAAATAAAATAGTTGTAGGTTACGAAGAGACGAAACTATTTAGAAAGTTTCAGACGGATGTTAAAAATTTGATAAAAAGTGGTATGTACCACGCACTATAAACTAAGTTGTTAAAAAAAAAAATCATGGATTATTTAAGATTTTTTAATCACTCTCCAACTACACTATGTATACTATAGATAAATTGTTATTAATTTAGTTTTTTTAAGTAAATAACTTAAATAATAAGTAATTCGAAGGGGTAAAAATATTATATGATTTGATATCTTGTCACCTAAAAGTATCTCTGTTTTCAGCAAAAATTATTACAATAAATTATAGCAATGCTTCGATTTCTTTTTTTTTCTATTCCGTGATGTATTATAATCATTATATAAATAGGCAAACACAGAACGGTTCAGCCCCTTTTTCTTCTCTATTATTCAACAGATTTTCTTCCTTCTTTTTTTTTATCTAATAGCTATCGACGAGCTTTATTGTTATCAATAAATGAAAAGATGAAATAGTGTAAGTAAATAAAAATATAAATGTTAGTATGTTCAAAACAACTAATCTCCGAAAGTTTTCCACCGATTTCTTTGAAATTTTGATTTAACGTCGCAATAAGATTTAGGATTGTTTTTCTATACGTTTCATTATCATCAGACCTTTCTTTTCGAAATAGCAGTGCCAAAACGGCTGCAACGATTTTAATGAATTGGCACAAGTCTTTCTCTTGAACCTTTATAATTTATGTATATAAGATACTTTCCCGAAAAAATGCTGCATAAATTTTTATGATGAAATCTGTATTTTATTTGAGATTAACTCAAAAAGTACACATTATTTTATTGATAATACCAATATTTATTTGAAAGCTTCCTAAATTCTCTACAAAATAAAACATTTTTAGACCGAAATTGATAAGAATTATTTGCGAAATGAAAGAATTCGTAGCGGACGAAGAAGTAAAGTGGATTCAAATATTTTTTTAAAGAGGAACAAAGTTCAGGTTTGTATTTCGCACCTCGATAAATCCTCAAATACCAATTTTCACTGCAATCACAAAATAAAAATTTTTATCTCAAATTGTCATTAAAGCACTTGGCTTCAGTTTTTTTTTAATCTCAAAAGTTTTCATAATTACGACATGGCTCTACTTATTCACACGAAAATTGGCTTGCAATTAGGGCCCCATAATATACAAGAAATGGCAGAAACCAGAGGTCCGTAAATAAATTAGGCTTGGAGGTAATAAAAGCTTGTAAATATAAATGCATGAATAGATTTTTTTATTAACATTATTATTATATTTGTTTATTTAGAAATATTACATTCTGTTACATCAAGGACATTTATAATAGTGTTCAGAGAGCACACTCACACTCTATTTTATTAACAAAGTATTTTTTTTAAATTTATGAATTTCCAAATATTTATCATCTAATGTGCAAATAAAACACAGTGATTTTCTTCAGATCTCTATTATATGAAAATATATGTATTTATAAGTGACCAACTAAATGTTCTTTGACCTGATATTTACGTTTTCATTAAAACAATTCAAGCAATGAGCAGGTTTCTTTATTTTAAACGTGATTATTAGGTTTAGTCACTTATAAATAGCTTATTATGTTTGGTATCATCTCTTTAAATATTTCTCTTTACATACGGAACACGCTGTATATTTCAATGAACTAAACTAAGTCTTGCGTGTCGCGTAGGTAAAGGCAAATACATAATATAATATAATTTAAATGTAGTGATTGTTGGTTAGTGATCGTATTCAATGATGAAGTAAACTTACATTACACATAAACTGCATGCTATTTTTGGCCATTGGTACTTTGTCGGGAACTTCTGACGATGGCACCACTGGTGGAGGAATTTTGGCAACAGAGAAGTCTTTAATGTCAATTTTGTCTATTAGAGCTGATGTTGCTTTACCCACAGGGGCCAGCAACGTCTTGGCGAAGTTCAGCTCTTTCCTAAGAGCCATCCTCTTCTTGTAGCCTTTCTTCAAAACGCAGTCCCTTCAAAGAAGAAGCAATTAAATATTTACTTAGTTCATAAAGACCTGAAGCAATAACTACTGGAGCTAACATTCTCCTCCACAGAATTATTTTTCGTTTGTATGGGAAATAAAATAAATAAGTCTATCAAGAGATTTTTGAAATATATGCCCATCTTTTACAACACACTCACTGTTTCACCTGTCTCTGAAAATAGCCTTTATTTATGCACTAATATTACAATTTCAAAAGCAAACAAAACAAAATAAAACTATTTTTTTTTTTTACATTATTGTAATTTATACAAAACTTTGTACTATCTTGCATAGGCCTTCCCTTAAGGGAAATAGTCTTTAACACTTCCCTGGGTGACAAGCCCTACTGTGAAGTGGGATTCGTGACCTTTAACCATTTTTAACCACCTGTGTCTAATAATGATTAAACATTCTTTTTTCATACAGATAAAGAGAATACATCAGAAGCAACATACTGACATACTGACAGCAACACATAAGAAGGTTGTAAGAAAAAAACAGAGGAGTAAAATTTGAAAAAAAAAAAGAAGGAACTATCAAATTATCAAATACACTAGGATAAATAATTAATAGAGAAGACTGATCCACTAACGATATCAGGAGAATTGGTGAAGGACGAAAAGAAACGGCAATGTACAACGGTATCCTTTGGAGCTCGAATACACAGCCCAGTACAAAGAGGGTATATTAGGGCCTTTTACGACATAACCCTCTGAGACAAGGGTCATCAACGCAAGACACCGGAAAAGACTGTTAGAAGTAGAAGCGGACTTTCGGAGAAGGACACCCAGAAAATCCAAAAGAGAAAAAATTAAAAAATTCTGGAGCTGTTTGAGATGAAAACACCCCATCAAATAATGAAAAGAAAATGTTATACTGGTTTGGAAAAGTTAAAATATTGACGATAGAAGGATTACCAAAGTTATACATGGAACTGGAAGTAGAAGGGAGAAGGAAAAAAGAAGTAAAATGGAAAGATGCGGTGGAGGAAAACCTGGCGGGGCATGGTATCAGAGGAGAACAAGCCTTAGATAGAGAAGGATGGAATGATATCTTATATGATATTTTTGTCAAGGATAACCACAGTAATGGAAAATTCCTTATTTAAAAACATACTCTCTAATAGTTATTATTACCTCAGTACAACATATGTGTCCAAATCAATGCAACCTTGTTTCATCCATTGCAGAAATTGCTCTGGAGGCACAACCAACCGTTTGCTGTTAATTTTTTCAGCTTCCTTCTTTAAGAACTGAATGGCCCCTTGCCTTTGATCTTCGTAGCATTTCTGTGGAATTAATAAAATTTGTAATTGCGTAAGTCAATATAGAAAACAATCATTTCAATTTATATTTTCATAATACATTCAGAATATTGCAACCAAAGCTTACAGTTATTAATTTTAGGTTTTATATTAATAATAGAAAGATAGAATAAAAATAGAAATAGAAAGATAGAAAATAAAAATAGAAAGACGTTTCCAACTACAGAGGTATTACTGTTACCAGCTCGCTGAGTAGATTATACGGCCGGATAATTAAAAGCAGAATTGAAAATGATTTAAAGGAAGAGATCAGCGAGGAACAGGCGGGTTTTCGAGCTGGAAGATCATGCACTGATCACATTTTTAGTCTCTCACAACTTATAGAAAAGAGGATGGCCCACGACCGTGAACTCCATATGATATTTGTAGATTTACACAAGGCCTATGATTCAGTACCTCTAGCGAAATTGTGGAAAGCTTTGGAAGCCACATCTATTAAGAGATACCTCATAAGAGCAATTCAAGAGCTCTATAAAAATATAAAGGGGGCTATAAAAATAGGAGATAGAGTGTCTAGAAGCTTCTTCATTAACAAAGGATTGAAACAGGGCTGCTGCCTTTCATCCCTGATTTTCAACATTTACATAGAACAAGCCCTTAAAAACTGGAAAAGATCGTGCTGTGGAATGGGTGTTCAAATCGGGAATGATGTCATCTACAATTTGCAGTATGCCGATGATCAAGTCATAATCGCATCGGATCCGGATGATGTTAGCTATATGATGAGGAAGTTGCTAGACACGTATTCCAGATGGGGTCTGAAAATCAGTGAAAGTAAAACAGAGTATTTGGTTTTCAACGCTCCAAATTTGCCCTTTGAAATTGATGACTGGACGCTAAATGTCAGCCAGCAGTTCAAGTACCTCGGATAATGGTTATCTTCAAAGGGTGGTAGTGAGGTTGATATCGAACCTAAAATAAATAATGGGAAAAGAATAATAAGTTCGATAAATTCAACCCTATGGAATAAAGAAATAAGATTAGAAACTAAAAAGAAGATATACCATTCCTTTGTAGAAAGCGTAGTCACTTACGGATCAGAAGTCTGGACACTGACAAAAAAGTTGGAAAATAAGTTGCTTTCCATGGAAATGGATTTCTGGAGAAGAAGCTGTGGCATGTCCAGAATCGAGCGGATCCCAAACGCAGCTATTAGAGACAAGGTCGGATGTCAAAAGAACATCCTTCACCTGATCGGGACCAAACGGCTAAAGTGGTATGGCCACTTAATGCGGATGGATGAGAGCCGCTGGCCAAGGAAAATTTATAACTATATGCCACCTGAAAGAAGAAAGCGTGGAAGGCCAAAGAAGAAATGGACAGAGGACGTGGAGGAAAGCATGGCAGCCAGAGGGCTTCGTGAGGGAGATTGGATGGACAGGGAGCAGTGGCTTTTTGGTGTTGGGGATATGACTCCTTAAGTTGTATAAAACCCAAATAAAAAAAAAAAAAAATATTTATAATCAAAAATGTATTTTTTTCTCCCCAAATATATTTTAACAACGCTAAAATCTCAACATCAAATTTGATTAGATATTTAGGTTTTTACCTGGACAAAAGACTTACTTGGAGGACTCACATCAGACAAAAACGAATTGACTTAAAGAGACCATATAGTCTTTTATCCAGATTACTTGACAGAAGTTCAAAATAATTTTTAACTAACCCTTTATAAAGTTTTACTTAAACCAATTTGTTCTTACAACATAGAACTGCGGAGTTTTGCTACAACTTCCAACATTAAAAAAATTCAGTCCTACCAGTAAAAAGTGTTGGCGAAGGATAGTTGACACACCGTTTTATGTCGTAAATGATATAGGACATAAAGATTAAACGTACCAGTAATTTTAGCCACTGCAGAAGTAAACTAAAATAACTTTCACCTAAGAACTCCTAGAGCCCATCCCGACAATTACGTAGGCGTTGGACAAGAGACCTGCTGATCTGATCTATAGTTCGGACGTTAAGGAAAGTTGTGAAGCTGCCAAAAAATTTGCTCATTGCAAAGAACTTTACAGATTGCAAATTTAATTTAATGTTTAATATTTTCGTTTGGTTAATAAATAAATAATTATAAATAGTCATAAAAACTACTAACAGTACTCTTATACGTGCTAGTACTCGTATACTAACAGAATAATGGATATTGGCTTCTAAACTTATCAGATAGTGAACACATTGTTGATATTATATATAGACAATATATCTTATATATAGACGGTAAAATAATGTTGTAAAGTATAATAAAATATTACAATCATATTGTTGAATCTAACGCATGCGTATTGATCATTAGTCATCATCAACTGAAGGAAACCTCCTGTGATGATGGTCCTATATACTAAACCAGGTACAACCTGCAACATGAATGAAATATTTTATATATTTTGAAAAAAAATATTATAGGGTTAAAATAAATATTTAAAAAAAGTTATAAAAAAATTCGAAATACCAAGCTAACAGAAGCCTGAGTAGAATATCAGAAAGTATTATGTGAATTGCATCCTTTTAACAGGATTTTTTTGTGTAACATATTACAATATGGAGTTGTTTATTCCTCAATATTCATACTTTCCTCAATAGCGTGTGGAATCGATATCATATTGTAAATTAGATAAAATCGAAAATATATAAAATGAGCTTAATTAAAAAAAAAACTAAATAGATTGAATCAATGAGAGAATTTTCTGCTTAAAACGTTGTTAAAGGCCCTTATGGATAATAGAGTATTACAGAAAAAAAATAATAACATCTAAACAGGAAAATTGATACATTAAATAAATAAATAAATAAAATACCTTAAGTAAACAAACCATATATACAAAATCAAGCTAATGAGACTATTTACAATATATTAAAACTAAGTACAATATAAATGAAAAAAAAAATAATCGCTGTTCAGCTAAAATAATGAAGAAATATAAACATAAACATAACAAAGAAATTTTCAAAAGAAATAAATTTAACAAGCCTCCTATAAATGGTAATTATATATATATATTTTTTATGTGGGAATCTTATCCGGAATAATAATGAAGAATAAATTCAGAATTGTTTCAATCACTGTTATCCCTAATGACCGATTTGGGTTAGGGGAAAAAGGGAAATTAAAAAGAAATATGTTGCTTAGACCAAATTTTGTTTTTTTTTTCCATCCCAACTAGTACCAGTAGCGTAGAAGGGAAATCGTTATTCGAGTGTTGAAAAATTCATCTACCTCAGATTCATTATAATCTCAATTAATTATTCATGGTCAAAAATAAATCACCGTATAAAAACTGCATTCAGAGCATTTAAATGTATTTCAAAGGTAATAATTATTTTAAGAAGACAAGAAATCTTAGATCAAAGGTATACTGATATACAGTTTCGAGACCTGGACGGTACCTCTGCCTTAGAAAGAAGTATTGAAAAATTTGATAGGAAAATCCACCGCACGGTCGATATTGGATCAGAGTACTACCGAAGGAAAAGGACCGATAAATACCTGCTTACAGAAACTGTACAATCAATATCTCAAGATATGAAGGCTAATAAGGAAATCGCTATAGAACAAGGAATGCCTTAATTGTCACCAAGAGTCTACAAGAAAGACCACCAACCAAACAAATAGATCGAATCAACAAAGATGCTACATAGGTGCATGCAGAAAACTGGAGAGCAATAATTCAGGATGTAGAAAGATATCTAAGCTAACAGAAAAAAGAAATTAATTTACTGATATGTATGGTATTACTTTTTTTCTTGTACTGTCAAAAAGTTTTTTTTTTTTAAGTTGTGGGATATATCTTACTATTGGTTTGTAGTTAATCCTCACATGACAGTTTTCATGCGCTGTTTTTCCGTTTGGGTCCATCATAGCCAAGTATTCTGTAAAAAAAGTCAAACATACTACAGCTACATGTTCATCTATGACTATATTTTATTATATTCTATACATCTAACATGTAATAATAGATGATGCAACTTAATCCATCTTTTACTGATTTTTTGCATTAGACAGTTAGAATTCTGTTCTTCCTTTAAAAAAGTGTTAGGCTGTAAATTTCAAGTATAAATGGTCTCGAAACCATCATTTCGAAAAAAACATCATTTACCAAAACCATCATTTCGGTATTCTAGAAGCTATAATGGTGGGGATGAATAGAAAATACATATTCATTTATAAATAAATTATAAAATCAGATCCTTCTATTTTCAGGACGTGAGGCTCGTGAACGCTTGGGAACCCACCCGGATACAATTATTCCTCTGCCTTGAACTTACGTATCAATCTTACTACTAATAGGATCAGCTATCGATTTTGTCTTTCGGATACGGAACTTATTAGTTGGACTTAGGAGCGCCATCGTGTTTTCATCTAGTACAGGGGTCTCCAAACTGTTTGGTGCGCGGGCCTCATTGAGGCCTCCTCCAAGTCTCGTGGGCCATTGCTTCTATTGAAAAAGAAAATATTGTTCTATAAATGACAAGAGAAAAAAACCCATGCAATAATTGTAGTAATCTCATGAGTGAGTAATTCGCTAAAAAATTATATTTTTTAAAAGTTTTACCAAGTAAGCAAAAAAACTTTCGCAGGCCGATAGGAGGTGCTTGCGGGCCGTAGTTTGGAAACCCCTGATGTAGTAGATCAGAGTTTCAATCACGATAGGTATTTTTTAGGCCATGCCGCTCAAAACACCGTCACGGTTACAAAGGTTCATATTATTTGTGGGCGGGGTGGCTGAATGGGCTAAGGCGTGTGCACAACACCACCGTTGCCCGGCAACCTGATATAAGATTAATGATATAAAAATAGTAACGAATTCGCGTCCCGGTGCCAAGGCGTCTTTTAAATCCCCGCCCTCACCCTCTGGCCCGGGAAAATCCCGTATAACCTTAACGGTGAGGAAGGGGAGGACCCAAAAAAAAAAAAAAAAAAAAAAAAAATGGTCATATTATATACACGTATTTTTACCAGTCCTGGTCTTGGTCTTGCAACAGTTAGGCGGCCTTGGTCTTGGTCTTGGAAAGAGCGAGACCAAGAACAATTTTGGGCAACACTATAAGCTATCGAGTAAACATTATTTCAACACATTATGTATATGATTGCTGATCGCACCCCTCGGAATATTTCTCCTCCATAAAATAAATATAGATTATAGACATAATTAGCACATGTTATTTTGAAATATATATTTTAATATGTTCGGAGATGAATTGCTGTTTTGTAGGCTATGTTAAATGACAAATGGTAAGGATAGCAAATACGGTAACCACAGTAAATAATATGACTGGAAATCCCGATTAATTATCATCTAAGAATATTTTAAAAGTGAAACGGTAAGAAAACTATATGGTGTATCCGAGACCGGGCGGAACAAATTGTTACTTTTACAAGTCGTCACTTTTGTTGAAGCAGTTCCCTCAATAAAGTTGGTCCGAATCGATAGCTGGTAGTGAATTCACAAAGGGACTGTGGCAAGTAAGATTTCCAAACGGCCTAGTGTCAGCCCTTCAAGAGCCGGCAACTTCTGCCTTTGAGGATTTGTTTGGAAACTCCCAAGCCTACTCTGGATTCTACTCTGGAGTCCACCTTTCCCTCTAAACTAATTATCAGTTATCTTATTCACAACTTTTCATCTTAAAGACATGAATGGCTGAATAAATTAGGCAATGATAAAATATTAATGTTACTGTTTTTAATTTTAGCATAATTGAAATTTAAAACAGCAAAATTTTAGTAATGAAATTTAGAAACTATTTAATTAATTAGGTATAAATAGAAAATTAATATGTTTAAATAAAAATGTGGTGCAATGCGCTCTTTAACACAACTTTCACTTGTGGTACGGTGACTTACAGTGGAAACAGGTATTTTCATAAGTGAAAGTAAAAATTAAATACGGTAAAACATATTGCTACTGTTAGTGTAAAATGTTATATTTGCAAAATCATGTTACTTATTAATTCTATTTTTGCTAAAGGTGACACTTTGTAGTATGTATAAGTAGTCTGCTATTATGGAAAATAGCAGAGGAGACTAACTATTCAATAATATAAAATAATTGCATATAAAAATTTTTATATTTATCATATTACTTTTGGAACATATTGCAAAACAAATATAAATATGAATTACAAAATGTATTATAGTATTAAGCTGCATAAGGAGAATTATATCACTTCAAATGATAATCTGAATTATTTCATCAATTATAAAATTTTGAAGGAATCAAAAACCATGAAAAGAGAAATGGTCTTTGCATAAATGTACTAAATGTTTAAAACGCTATATCTCATCACCGAACTGTCCGATATTGATGATTTTTTTTTTGTTTACTTTGAAGAAAATATATATTTCAATATTTGTAGCACTTGTGTACTTTTCAAATTATTCAAATAAATAAAATACTGAATTCATCGTAACATTTTTCGTAGCTTGTTCTCGAGAAAGTATGTTATATTGATAAATTTAAAAGGCTTCAAGGAGAGGACTTAAAAAAATATATAAAATCGTTACAGCCGTTTTGGAACTAGTCTACAGCGGCACACGTTTTGCGGCCGCCATTTTGAACGAAAAGACGGAAGGTAATGAAATGTATACAAAAACACTCCTGAATCAGATAGAAACCATTCTGTCAAAATTTCAAAGCAATCGGTAAAGAACTTCTACATTTTTTCTTATAAAGATTAATGATAAAAAATATTAATTACTTAATTAGTGAGTAAGATAATAAATATATTTAATGGTTGGAAAAAAAGGAAAAAGAGAAAAAAAAAAAACTGCTTACCATTAATATCTGGATCACCCATTGTCAGGTCGCTGGATGGTAGATGAGTGCAATCTTTTTGTGATTTTTTTCCTTCTTTTTTCCTTCTCGTTATTTTTTTTCACCCTTTTGTATTGCTATTTATCAGTTGGGCAGATGTTTTGAGGCTGTAACAGAACAGACAAAAGGTTGCTAACTTTTCAGATGAGAGATTAGAAGCGCACACTAATAAACCCTCGGTGAGAATTGGAGCCGGCCTAAGTGACTACAATGGCCAACTTTTTTAATAATGGCCGCAACACAGGATTAGTTTTTTATTCGTTTTCTTCCGTTGGAAAATGTTTCAAAAATATTCTTTTCAATGCGGAAACTTAGCGATCACTATCGACATAGGTAAATTAAAAATTACAAAAGCCCCATAAAACAAAAAATTCGTAGATGTATAATTATTAAATGAGAGAAAAGAGGACTAAGGAATGAGTCGTTTATTTAAGAAAAGTCAAGCATCTCACTAAAAAATTATCTATGTCCCAAATGAATTTTAGTGGCATCAGTCGAAAAATAAAGAAATTAATAATGTGCCATGGTTCTAAGTACAGGCAAATTTTGAACGCAATTGGTTTGAAAAAATTCTAACTGCTGTACCATGCAGCTGTACTTGATTTATGGTTAATTTAATGGGAGTTAGGAATGAAATTATATCATATATTATTACTAAAAATCTGTTCTATTTGTATAACATTTTCGAATACATTATTAAAGAAAAGAAATATGTGATGTTTTCACAATTTTTAGCAAATAAAACGCGAATATCTATATTATTCTAAAATTTTAGAAGATATAAAAAACGTATTGTGCAGAGAAATAAATTTACATTATTACATGTATTATGTTTTAGCAATGCATATATCATAAAGTTTTCTCTAACATTGCTTTCTATAAAAAACATATTTTTGTGCTTTATAATTTTAAAGTAGAGTATTGCTCCTGGAATCAATAACTTTTATTTAATTCAATATAAAAATGATAAAATCATTTAATACATCATTTTGTCAAAGGCGGGAAATGCTCGTTATGTTTTTGTGACAAATTACTTAGCTCGCGCATCTTGTCCCGGAATTTAAAGACTAGAATCTATAAAACCATTATACTACCTACAGTTCTTTATGGGTGCGAAACGTGGCCGCTTAAATTAAGAGATGTGTAACGTCTCAAGGTTTTTGAAAATAAAGTATTGCGTAGAATATTCGGACCGAGGAAAGATAAGTTGACCGTTGAGTTCAGAAGGTTGCACAACGCCGAGTTACGTGAACTGTATCCAGTTAATATAATTGATGTGATTACATCACGGAGAATCAAATGGGCTTGTAAAATAGTTCTGCTTAGTAACGAAAGAATTCCTAAAAGGTTGATATTTGCTGTACCAAATGGTAAACGTCCAAAAGGTTGATATTTGCTGTACCAAATGGTAAACGTCCAAAAGGTTGACCGAAGCGAAGGTGGGAGGATTGCGTTAATCTGAAGGGACTGGGTTTGGACGGCAAACGGTAGAGGTGTGTAATAAGCGATTGGTGGTGTCGGCATCGAACCCCCGGGTTAGCTAAGCCTTTTATTATTATTATTATTTTGTCAAAAACAGAAAACGAAATATTTTTATTGAATTCGACTTTTCGATTCTACGCACCCTATATGAAACGTAAAATCTCGAATTTTAAGGTTGTTTATATTATTTTTTTTGATCTATTGAAGATATAACATAATTTGAAAAAAAAAAAATGTTTTAACACAAAAAACAGTGAACGGTGAATGTTGGAATTCTTATATTTTTGGAAACAACATATATTATTATATTTATATTTCACGTTTTAATTAAACATTAAACACCAAATTTGATGAGAATTTTTTCTTGGTTGATCACAAAGGTTTATTATTCAAAATAACAAACGAAAAGAACTGCAACAATGTCACTTGACCATGTTCCAAAATATTGTTCCAACTCTAGTTCTGTCTTGTCATTGGGCCAATTCGGAGTCCGAAGATTTATAGCCCAGATAAATCGAGCCTTTGAGTTGACAGAATGACTAAGTCCAATTTCAACATTTTTGATTATTAATTATAGTGATATTTCTAGTGGAAAAATGTATACCTTTATTCACGGTTTTATATTTCAAACACTGCAACGACCTACTCTAGAATCAACTATCAATGAATTTTACAACTAGAAATATCACTAAAATAACATTACTAAAAAATGTTGAAATTGGAGTTAGTCATTCTGTCAACTAAAAGGATCAAATACTTCTAGAATGAATATAGGTTAAATATCTACATATAAATTCTAAGACCGTGAAAATGCATCTGGAATGAAGAAATTGTAAATGCAAAATTTCATTATTCAAAGTGATCTTAATAAGTGCTACAATTAACTCATCAACGAATGTAATTATAAATCCACTGCTTCAAGGTTTCGTACTTACAGAATTGTAAGTTGAAGTAAGAAAATATTAATACTGCAGTCAATTGAAACTTTTAATACCTGTTTCTCAAGATTATTGTAAATGCAGTTAGAACTTATTCAAAACAAGGCCACAATACATGTACACTCAAATGGCTTTAAGAAGAGAACATCTGGAAAATTTCATCAATGACATTAGTCGTTTTGATACTTCATTCCCTAAAAGAAAAAACTTTTTACCATAGCCAAATTTTGTCAAACAATAATTTCTTTTAAAAGTAGAGGAAGTAGTGAAGCTTATTTGATGCGGGCAACAGATTTTCTTACTTTCACTTAGTTATCATTTTTTCTCTTATTCACCCCTTTCTGACACAAGGATATGAACCTGTAATCTAAATTGGAAATTGAATAGCTGTAGCTTTGTTAATAGTTGGGGGCTCTGAAACTTACCTTACCTAGTATAGGTAGGAAAGTAATAAATTAAAGCATGTGTAGAAAATAGAATAAGCTTAAGCTTAAGAATAAGAATCATCGCTAATACAGATTCGATTCTGATTATTTTTTTCCTTATTGTTGTTAATTTAATTATCTTTTAAAAGTTTTACTATAAATTTTACCACAGAATATATACTTAGCGAGTTGGATCCAAACCATTTTTCATTTCTTTATAGCTTTTTTTCCTGAATTTTCTCGAGAATTTAGTCCATGTACAAAAATTAAAGGACAATTATCAGACCAGAAAAGTTTCATCAAAATCGTTAGAGCCGTTTTCGAGCTACAGTCTATAGAAAAAAATATTTTGCATTTATTGCGCAGTAACTATTGCGCATGGAGCATCCACTTTGTGTCACTGGCATCAGTAGTCAAAACTCTACAAAATAAAAAAAGGACTAAGAAAATAGGTTTTCTACTTCCCGAGAAAATCTTGGCACAGACAAACAGGCTAATGGCTAAAAATGTGTTTTTCGGACTAAGCGGACTCTGAAACGTATAGATCCGTCAAAAATCGCATATCGGAAATTTGACCCGTTCGCAATATTCTCCTTACCTAGTATAGGTAGGAAAATAAAAACACTCAGGTATTATGAAATAAATAATCCGGTGTACTTTAGTGCAAACTCTCACATTAATTAGCTATCCTTTTGTTGAATACATTTGACATTAAGGCGACATGAGTGTAACATGTTTATTTGTGTAAATGGTATAATGTCATCAAGGGGCCGTGCACTAAAGTACACCGGATTATTTATTTCATAATACCTGAGTGTTTTTATTTTCCTACCTATACTAGGTAAGGAGAATATTGCGAACAGGTCCAATTTCCGATATGCGATTTTCGACGGATCTATACGTTTCAGAGTCCGCTTAGTCCGAAAAACACATTTTTAGCCATTAGCCTGTTTGTCTGTTCCAAGATTTTCTCGGGAAGTAGAAAACCTATTTTCTTAGTCCTCGGGTGGTCTCGTCTTAGGGTGGTCGAGCGGGCTGACGCGTTTTTAAAACTTGCGTTCAATGACAACCAGATAAATCAAAGTTTAATGATAAAATAATTGTATGTTTGCGGCATGGTGTCTGGCACCTTTTACTCTGGCATTAATCCCCTGCCCTCATCCCCTTGGCCGGGAAAATCTCGTACAGAGTAAAAGGCATGAGAGGGACGAATTATATATATATATATATATATATATATATATATATATATATATATATATATATTATATATATATATATATATATATATATATATATATATATATAATTATCAAGTATAATAAAGTATAATCATAACGTATTAGTACAATATTATCAACATGATCTATTCAACAGCCACAATAGGCAAAGTTTCATACTTTACCACGACTGTTAAAGTTATTTATTAATAAGTGATTAGCTTGTTCCACTAGAAAATATCCCTGAAGTTACAGTCTCGAGTACAGATCCCTTTTTATCAAATTATTAACATCCGCCCGAAACTTGGTAAATAGATTTATCTTATTGTAACCTACAACTATTTTATTTACAAATATTCTCCTCGACCTGAACTTCAGGTCGAAACGTCGACATATGTAAACAATAAATATTATCATTTATTTCTGCCTTCCTTTTTGACTGACCACCCCAACTATTCTTCTCTTCATTATCCACGACAGTCAACCAATTACCAATTACAAATATTCTCGGTATTGGAATGCTTTGAGTCTGGAGATCGGCAAACTTTCTCTATTTACTTGGGTACTTAAAACTCATTTGCTTTCGACTAGGATGGTAAGAAAATTTGAACACAAAATCGACAAAAAAGGTGGCCTTCAAAAATACTGGGCCATTTGGCCTAGTTGAATATTTTTGAAGGCCACCTTTTTTCTCGATTTTGTGTTCAAATTATATTACGATTGAAATGGAAAGCAAATGATTATTTACGAGTTTTTAGTACCTAGTTAAATAGACAAAGTTTGCCGATTGAAAACGCCCCAACTCCGAGAATTTTGGTAAATAAAATAGTTGTAGGTTACAATGAGATACAAATGTTTACGAAGTTTCAGGCGGATATTAATAATTTGATAAAAAGGGGTATGTACCACGGACAATTATGTTGATCCACTATTGTACCTAGTTCCCTCACTCCTCTACTTCTAATACTTCATCATACGGAGACAAGGAGGCCAAGATGGGCAGGCCATGCAGCTCGGAATAATTTATCAGGAAGTTTCTACACAACAATGAATACCTCTATGGACAACAGAAATAACATGGAATCCAAAAAACAGATAGATGTATAAATCAAAATCGAGAAATATGTTGCAGAGCAGCATACAGACTAGTGTTAAGCATTACCCCAAGGGACAGAGATGGATAAGGCTGGTGAGGAATGGTAAAAAAAGATCAATCTTAAAGCTCTATAAAGCTAAAAGAAAGAAATGTAACATTTAATTATGTGTTAATTTTGAAACTGTTTTATTGTTTACAATATTCTTTTTCCTGTTTTGGTAAAAATCTTATTATGAAACACCTTACAGTACTGATAAAATTCAAATATGTTGTTAATAATAATGTTAATTTGCATGATCACGCTTGAACAAAAATCAATGTTGTTACATATTTCCCATTTCTTTCTGCTATATTATTTTTCATTTAATGTTACACAGAAACCGGTGTGTCATAGTGAGCAAGAAAAAACAAATTGAATTCCTGGAGCGTTGTACAATCCGATAAAAAAAGTTCATATTTATCTGAAACTACCTCACCTAAAATTGTATTATTTTAGTGGATAACAGAATTATAAAAAATTGAAATAACTCTCAAAGACCAAAAATAATTTTTACGTTAGCTTCAGTTAAACACATTTAGTTTGATATAACTACACAGAAAAAATATGTCAAATTAAATACTTACAAATTCCAAATTTTACTATAATTTTAAGTGAAAACGCTACGTTAGAATTCAGTTCCAAAGGCTATTTACAGAACCTTAACAATTTGAAACCATATGTCAGAAAAACTTATCCAGTTCTGCGTACCTAGTTGTCAGGGATTGTTGTTTCCTTTGGGACCATCTGAAAAATCAGTGCAGTTATTCTTTTTTGTTTGGTTTTAGAAGATATTACACCTCTGTGCACATTAAGTATCATATCTATGCAACATATAAAGCACCTATGGTCTAAGACCGTTATTTTTAGTCATATTAAAATTTATAAATGGTTATCTCATATGTTTCTATTACAGTATCAATGGTTTAACCTTGCAACATGGTTCATGATGAATTGAAGAGTAATGTTTTATTCTGAATAGAATGTACGTATTTAAATCAGTTGTATAGCAATATTTTATTTCTACTGTATTTTATCATCTTTATTTATTGACAAAAATTCATTTAATGTCATAATAATGTAATGATATATTCATCATAAATCTATGTAGAATATGGAAACTTTAAAATTTAAATATAATAGTGTTTCAATTTAATCACTATTAACATAATTATAGATTGCCCTTGAGAATCTGAAACAGCACAGATGATTATCAATGAAAGACACCATAAAATTATATTTATTAACCAAGAATAGGGCTGAGTTTCAAGAAACAGATAACAAATATTTCGATAAGCCGCTTCTTGCAGTTAATCATGAATAAAAAGAATAATCCGTGATCCAGATCCCTTTTTATGAAATTATTAACATCCATCTGAAACTTCTTTATTAGCTTCATCTCATCGTAACTTACAACTATTTTATTTAGGATAATTCTTGGAATTTGGCCGTTTTCCATCTTTAGATCGACAAACTTTGTCTATTTTATTAGGTACTAAAATCTCGTAAATACCCATTTGCTTTTCACTAGGGTCATAAGATAATTGGAAAATTGAGGTGACCTACAAAAATATTGGGCCGTTTTTCCTATCTAACCTCGTTATTTTAACATTTTGGGGCTGCATGTCAAGCCAAACGGTTCAATATTTTTGAAGGGCACATTTTTTCTCGATTTTATGATCAAATTATCTTACTATTCAATTGGAAAGCAAATAGGTATTTAGGAGTTTTTATTACTTAATTAAATAGACAAAGTTTGCCGATCAACAGATTGAAAACCCCCCAATTTTGAGAATTTTCTTAAATAAGATAGTTATAGGTTACGATGAGATGGAGCTATTTACGAAGTGTCAGGTGGATGTTAATAACTCGGGTTATTTCGGAAAACTATCTAGAGTGTGTTCGAAGTGATCTTGAGACCATATGTCATCTTGTATTCTCCATTTAAAATTACCAATAATTCAATAAGTTAAGTGAGAATTAGAAAAAAACTAAGGTCGTTTGCGAAAATATATTTTTTTAATAACCTCACATACGAATTAGCTTGATAACGTTAAGTAAGTTCGTATTCTTTCTAATTAACTCATCATGTATAAAGTCAGAATTCTATCTGAAACTTAAACGGTAAAACTACTTGAGGATATTCCACTGAGAATGCTGATATAGACATGAAGTTTCATTGACATTATGTTTAGGTTATAAAAATTGTTATGTTGCTATTTTTGATATTCTTCGACGAACGACAATAACAACTCATTAGAAAAGGAAATGTAAGAGAATAGCTAATTGATCTCTTGGGTGCTTCGGATAATATAGAAAGAAACATTTGATAATTTTAAGAAATTTAAAAAACATCTAGGCTTCTATACTCTCAGCAATAGCTCGTATATCCTTACAAGGGAAAGTTACGGACGCCTGGTCATCGATTTCAATTAAGCTTTTATTGGTGATACTAGGTAAACAAATACGAAAAATATTTGACCCATGTCCCAGGATTCTTGCCACAGAAGGCCATAGGATTTTAAAGTTATTATATAACAATAGATTTGTTGTTTTTGTTTATGTAAAAAAAAACATTGCCAATTGTATTAAACGAATTCTAATGCATGATGAATTACAAATACCCAACGACGCTCCCAGTAAAGTAGGCCAAATAAATTTTTGTCACGAAATAACTCTTAAATACGAGTTTGTTTTGAAATAAAAAAATATAAGTTTTTGAACTTAAATTTTTGGGAGGATTTTTTTTTTCATGCTGTTTAATAAAATATTTATAACTCCTGAGGATTTTCTCCTAAGTTGACGTTACTACAACCGTTGGAAAGCTAAATTATTGCCCTTCGAATATACAACTTTTATATTTTACGACTTTATAAGGAATAAATAAAACATCCTCAAAGGTTTTTATTTATTTTTTTTTTTTATTTTATTTTTTTTATCTCCAAGCCTAATTTCTTTGCGAGAGTCTGATTTGTGTCATTTTTTGTATATTATTATAGACTCCCAAATTCATGCTCATTTTCGTGTTGATAACTGGAGCCAAGTATTTATTTATTAGTTTATTTAGAAATATTACATTCTGTCACAATCAAGGACATTTATAATAGTAGCTAGAGAGCCAAAACTCCTTTTATAAGCTTATTCATAGAAGGTCTCTGGGCCACTGCCGCTTCAACCAACGAGGAGGATTGTAACCCATCCGGTGCTGGATAGAGATTGTTCAAGGGGGTTTGGATGATAGGTAAGGTTCTGGTGAAATTTGGAGAATTCTGGGATAAGGTCTAGGACAAAGGGATATTAAGGTCATGGTGGGGTTCGTTAGTTTTTTTTGTTAGTTAGATAGAAAGTTGTTAGTTGCGGAGCATGTATTATTGTTCGAAGGACTTTAGATTGAAAGGATTGAATACGTTTGATGTTAGAAAATTTTGTTTTCCCTCACAGTTCAAGTACGTATGTCCATATAGGTTTCAGGATTGTCTAGAGCCAAGTAGAAGTTACAACAATTTTTGTGATTTTGGTCAAAATTTCCATTTAGTCCGGAGCCTTTTTTTTGGAAAATCATAAAAGTTGTTATAACTTCCACATGGCTCCACTTATCCTCACTTATGCTGATAATTACTAAATTTGTATTTTAGCTCAGATTTTTCTACAATTTCTTTCAAGTTTCTTCTCGAAATTCCTTTGAAAATATGTTTATTTACTATACTATGTGAATATTTCCACTATAAAGTAAAGATTTCCTACTAGACGCCGTCATAGACCTCCACACCAAGAAACAGAATATAAGAAAATAACATAAGAACATAAGAAAATACAGATCACTAGCATGTTTATTGATAATAAATACAACAAATTATTGTTTTCAATGTAATATAAATTGAACTATTTATTTATTCAATAATGTCTATCAATATCTAGGTGTATCATTTTGACTGTGAGCCACTTCATATATTTTAGGGACCGTTGAACCATGCTTGTTACTGCTAAATTCGATTCAAGGAATTAATGTGAAATTATACTTCAGCATAAAACAAGCTGTTTTACAATCAAGACATTAAGGGGGTTGCTAAAGTAAGCAATGAGCAATATAAGGCTAACAAGGCTGGCTCTGTGCTAATAACATGCCGTGCATCACAATTGGGTCACTACCGCGATGCATATTAATGCCATTAAAAACGGCATTAAACATGAAATTTATGGATAGTTTTTATACTCATAACATCTTTAGGTCCCTGATATAAACATACAGCTCAGGACTTATGGTGTTTTTCATAGCGTCTACCCTTGTAATTTTCAATTATTCCGTAATGATGGTGCACTTAAATAATCATTTGAAAAAAACATTTATTGGTTCAAGAATAGAGAGAGAATTACAATAATACTTCATGACTGCTCAACATGTTGAGTTGCTAAACCACACAGCATATTCATCGGTCAACAGATAATATTTTAAAAAATAAAATAAAATAAAAGAGAGTTAGGTCGGACGTTTGGAATATATTTGCGAGGAAATTGATCAGCATATTATCCTCTCTGTATTAAGCTATAATTCAAAATTGTATCTTAACGCGACGCCGTGTTAGGAAGGCGAAAAGGAAAAAATAGTGTCGAAAACCAAATGATAATAAGATTAATTGAATATATGTGTTAAAATATTTCTGAGATTAAAAATCGGATCTAAATACTGTAAGGGAAGGAAATGTTCAGCATTTTGTCTTCTTTGTAATGAGCTATTATTAAAAATTGTATCTTTACCAAACACCGTGTTAGAGAGTAGGAGAGAGTAAAAGATTTGGAGTGTCCAAAACCAAAAGTTATTATATAGTATAATATATATTAAGCAATATATATAGGCAGGCATAATGGAAATTATATAATAATATAACCTTCCAGCTGGAAATTTGAACATGAATATTATACAGTCGTTGGATACATCATAAACTTGTAAATATCACTAATTTAAATAAGTAAATTATAAATCATTAAGGACATTTTTAGATTGACCTGACTTTGATGTCTATATTTTATGTAATAAAACTTTATTATTAACTTTACAAATTTCTTACTAAACGAAAATAAAGTAATTAACCCTAACTAAAATACACCTAGAATATATGAATAAGTAAAGTTATATACAAGTGGCGTCCTATCTTCAGTAATATTAAACGAGGAAACTGAAAAAAATGGCTAAATATCTCAATTCCACACTCAATAAACTAAAATCAGATAGTAACACTGATGTAAAAAACACAATGGAGGTAGATCAAATGCTTGAAAAAATAAATAAAATAGACAATAGATAAATATTGTTTGATCTGTTTTGTTGTATAAATTATTTTTTTACCACTAGCAACTGAAAAGATGTAATCAAAATAATTGAAAATATTGGGATACAATTGTATCCATATTAATATATTGGGATATATACCTAAATAAAAGGGTTTTATGCAAGATTTGGATTTAAATATTTCAGAAGTTAAAAATTGAACTTGGATACTGTAAGTGAGGGAAATGCTCAGCATTTGACACTTTAGAATAAGTTATTATTTATAACTTATATTTAATTTTATTAATCTCTCCTTGGTGCTGTTTTCAATTCTGTCGTGTGGTCTAAAGCACACACCTTAGTTTTTTCTTTATGTATTTTTTTATGTTCGATTTGCTATTAGGTTCTTTTCCTAAATGTTGAAATACTAACGAGCGACTGTTAAAACCAATAATTTTTTCAGAAAGTAGTTGTTATAATACATTGTTATGATAAATCAAATTTTATATATATATATATATATATATATATATATATATATATATATATATATATATATATATATATATTTCTTTGATGTTATAATAATTTAAAAAATATTAATTTATTTCCGGAATACATACATTATATATATATATATATATATATATGAATATTTATTGCAAAAGTAAAATAATATTTTTTAATTATTATAAAAAACAAGAAGCTTGTCAAAGATATTTACATTTATATATAAATTCATTTTTAAAACTATGGATTATCAGT